TTTTTTTTTTTTTTCCTTCCCCCTTTTTCTTGTCTTTTTTCCTTTTTCCGGGTCCGCTTTTCAACCGTAGGATAGATGCGTATGAATAGATGGATCAACCGTAGGATAGATGCGTATGAATAGATGGATGGGGGCAATAGCTTGTACCGTAAGGCAGCGATTCCCGGACGGACCCCGCGACTATATCAGAATAGAACCCGTGGGCTCCATTCATCGGAGCACCATACGGTTAATGGTTCTGACAGCAGAGTAGCGCGTCCGATTTTCGCATTCGCGACGGGATTCGGTGAGGTGACAAACGACATGGATTTCTTCGCTGACTGGGACCTGGAGGAGCAGCAATAGGAGGTGGAGGAAATGGTAACGTTCCTGGCGGTCGGCACCTTCCCGGTTTTGCCCTCGTAACCCGACGCCTGAGTACTCCGAGGCCAAGCGACATGCATACCGATGCTACCTGCCCTGCTGATCGCGCTTTGGCCCGCCTACCCCCCTCCGCACCAACGCGAAACACCGCATTCGCCCTCCTCCTCTTCCTCGCTCTTCTTCCCAATCTCGCCATAGCCGCAGCAATGCTGGCCGCATGTTTGTCCGAGGGAATCTTCCTCTGTTATCGACTAGGCCCTTTGCTCTATTGATCGGTTGCACGATTTGCTTCACGACCATCTTTCTCGCCAGCTTCTGCTACCTCTTCTTTGTGCTAGGCGTCGGAGGTGGGTGTGGTTGTTAGCTAGACGTAGTGTTCTGCGAGGAGCGGTGCGATGGAGCATAGGACTATGACGGAGGCTTCGGCATGCGCCTTTTCGGCCTTCCTTTCGTTTCTCTCCTTTCTGTCCTTCCTCTACTTCATCTACTCCCTCCCCCAACCCCTCCCGCATGCCCCTTCCCTGCCCCTTCCCTCCCCCTCCCCCGTCCCCCGTCCCTCATCCCTCGATCACGCAACCCCACATCATCCCTATCTCAATGCACCCCCATCCACAACCCGACCACTACCACCCCCCGGCCTTCCAGGGATCATGGAAGATGTCCCCCCCTCTGATGACGCCCCACGTGGCATGGGGCAGAAAAGCGCTTAAGGGAGCTGCCACGCCCTTCCCGCGATTCGGCGAGATGATCCACGCAGCTGCAGGAATGCATTGGATCTGGAGGAGAGAGCTGAAGCGGGATATCCCCTTCCCCCCCCCCCCCTCCTCCCTCCCCCCTTCCCCCCTTCCTTCGCTCCCCTTCCCTCCCTCTCCCCCTTTTTTCCCCTTCCTTCCCCCCCCCGATCTTCTCTTCTATCCCCTTGGAGCCCACTACAACTGTTCGATAGTAGAGGTGCGAGGTGGGCGACGCGATCTGTAATTGTTTCTGATGGAGATAAAGACCCCCCTTTTTTTCGATCTTCTGAAACATTGTGTCTATCATGGTGCTGGTTTGTAATGATTGTTCTATCTTCGGGTTGTCGTCCTTCCGTCTTTTTTGAAGTTTTTTCGAAGTTTTTCCAATTTTTTTATGAATGAATGGACCAATCTTCTGAAATATTGCTTTTCATCTAAGGTGCTTGGTTTTTATTGGTTGCTTTTTCCACCCTGTCTATTTTCTCCCTCCATTGCAATTTCCATTCAATAATTTCCCGTTCATTGATTTCCGTTTGACATCTTGTTGATTGGGATTTCGAGGCTATTCAAAAGGATGGTATACGAGTGTTTCAACGCGTTGTTATATGTCACCAATGATTGTTCTGTCGACGAAATTATCATCCCTCCTTTTTCAAACTTTTTTCGAACCTTTTTCGAACTTCTTTCGAAGTTTTTTCGAATGTTTATCTCTCTCTGAATAGATGGTTCGATCGTTGCCCCTTTGCGATACAAAGCACCCCTACCCCCCTTCGCTTCAATTCGCCACTTGCGCTGGCCTGGCCGAACTTCACCCGATAAACGGCCTAGCGGTTACCCTCACCACAACATGGACATACCAAGTGGTTTTACCTCGCCGCGTTGGAATATCGCCTCCCGCGTCTTGCTTTTTGTTCACGGTGTGCCGACGTTGTTAGTCGGAGTAGCACAATCATGACGTGTCGTGCGAGTGCGAAGTGCATGTGATGTGCGCATGCTAACACACACACACACACACACACACACACACACACACACACACACACACTCACACTCACAATCAATCAATCAAAACCCTTTTTTGAATTTTTTTCTTTATTTATTTTTCAAATTTTGCATCTGCATTTTTTTTAAACACCTCTTACGCTTGCAAAACACAAAAATTCATTTCTAAAAAAATACAGGTGAACTCAAGGCCATATATCTCATGATAAAAGATGACAAAAAGAAAATCCAGCTTTTCTTTACATATATATTTTTAATTTTGTTACGATCCTGGCCAATTTCGAAGTATACATTCATTTGAAAGCACCATGCCATCCAATTGCAAAAAGAAATGAATGAACTTGAGGGGAAAGAAGAAGAAGAAGATGTGAGAAAGAAGAAGATGATGATGTACTCCAGCATAGACCAATGTCAAGGCTATTCTTCTTCACCAACCAAACCCTTCCTCCTCATCTCCTCCCTCTTATTCAAACAAGAAATAACAATAATAATGTTGAATGACTGAACCAGAATCAATATCCGAATCCCACTTCTACTGCAGGCACAACATGAGGTGCACCATAGCCATGGCAACCCTTCCTCTTCCTCTTCATACAGGCCGAGGCTATGGTGGACTACTAAGGCTTCAGCCTCCTCCAAAGGACAACTCAAAGCAGCTATACCGCTGACCCACTTCAAGGTCATCACCATGCAGCTATGCCGCTGCCCACTCAGCCACCATGCCTGACTTTGTCCCGAGCTTCCTTGATGCGGCACTACCCCCACTGGGGCCTTCCTGATGCAGCGCCTAGCAAGGAGATGAAGATGGTGTCTACCATAGCCAGTAAGTACCTCGCCACTCTCCCCCTTGGTCCCCCTCTCCCTCCTCCTCCTACCGGTAGAGCTCCACCATAGCCAAGGTTGAAGCTCCCGGCTTCTTCTTCCCAGCAGCGTTGTGGTACCCAGCGCTCCAGCAGCGTGTCGCCAAACTTGCACACTGAAGAATGAGGCTGGGCTCTCCGCCCGGCCTCTTGATATAGCGGCCTACTTGCCTCCTGGGCGGTGACTTCCAGGCCGCTCCAAGCAACCGGTACTTCCTCGGTTTCGGAGGGAAACATCATTGCAGACCCTGATATTACCCGTACAGGCTCTAGACTCAGACTGGTTGGATTGGTACCGGCCTAGACCTACCCTACCGCTACTGGACTCTAAAAATGCCAACTTTGTCTTTTTCTGCTCGGCCTCCAGCACCCCTTCACGCCAACTGCAGTGGGGTGCAGTATCGGCTTACCGGCCTACTTGAGTGTTTTTCCACTACCCCAAGGGCTGCGGGGCCGCTAGCTTCGCCACTTGAGTGTTTTTCCCTGCTACAACCCTCAATGCCACGGCCACAGGTAAGTACCGGCCCTATGGGCCTGCCAAACAAACAAGTACCCTTGCGGGTCACACACACACTCATACCGACAAGCACTCAGACAGGCACGCAGGTCACAAACACGCACACACAGACAGACTTAGAAAACACAGCAGATGCGGGAATCTCAGCCATGCATCCATTCCATCAGCAGTGTTCTCAGTCTGTGTTATGACGGGTCATGACAATTTTCTTTAAATCGAATTTAGTTTTTGATTTTTTTAAAATCCTAAACAAAGTCGGATTCCAAAAAAAAACATATGGGGTTGTAGGGCTTAAAATTCCCTACAACCCCATATTTTTTTTGTTTTTTTAACCTATTATTTAATTAAGGAAAATTCTGGTAAAATCGGGTCCGCGGGGCGGACCAGGTCGGCCGTGGACGCAGCCCCATCTGCGTCCGCCATCCGAGATCAGACCCGCGGACGCGTTCGCGGGTGTTTCATAGTCTGCGCGCTCACACACTCTCTATTCTAGTCAACCTTCAGCCAACGTAGACCACAAACGAAGCCGTGTCTAGCGCGATATACTTAAACTTTGAACCAAATGTATTTTTTGTCATTTGCAAAAACCCAGGGCGGATACACTTGTAAGGGTATTCGCACTGACAGCGCCGACGATGAAGGACGAGGAGGACAAGGAGGAGGAGGAGGAGGAGGAGGAGGAGGCCACGACAACGGAGGAGGAGGGAGAAAACTTAGAGGAAGAAGAAGAGGAGGAGGAGGAGGACGACGAGGAGGACGAGGAGTGGGAAGAGGATGAGGAAGAAGAAGAGGAGGAGGAAAAAGAAGAGGAGAAGGAAGACGAGGAGGGCCCGACGATGGAGGAGTGGGAGGGGGCCGAAGTGATTGGTCACCCGATCACTCCGTCGGCCCTCCCCGCTCTTTTTTCAATCAATCAATCAATCAATCAATCGAAGATCCCATCAAATCGATTGATTCGATAGGATCTTCACATACCAAGATCCTATCGAATCGATTCGATGGGATCTTCGATTGATTGATTGATTGATTGATTGATTGATTAATTGATTGACTGATTGATTGATTGATTGATTGATCGGACAAAAAAAAACAAAAGGGCGGGGGAGGAGGAGACGTTATCGATTCGTGAGGATGGGGAGGAGAAAGACGAGTAGGGGGACAGGGATTGGCGGGACTAGGAGGAAGAAGAAGAAGTGGAGGAGGAGGAGGCCGTGGCAATGGAGAACGACGACCCGAAAGACGAAGAGGAGGACGAAGAGGAGGATGACGACGAAGGAGGAGGAGGAGGAGGCGGCCCCAACAAGGGCGAAGGAGGAAGAGGTTGCGACGGCGGCGGTGGCAGCGGGGGAGGAGGTGGCCCTGACGATGGTGGAGGAGATGCCAATGGGACAGGGAATGGCGGGACAAGGAGGAAGAAGAAGAAGCGGGGGAGGAGGAGGCCATGGCGATGGAGAACGACGAGGAGAAAGGTGAAGAGGAGGATGACGACGGAGGAGGAGGAGGACGAGGAGGCCCCGACGGGGGTGGAGGAGGAAGAGGCGGCGGCAGCGGGGGAGGAGGTGGAGGAGGAGAGATGACGAGGATGGGGAGGAGAATGAGGAGTAGGAGGAGGCCCCCACCACGGTGGAGGAGGAGGAGGAGGAGGAAGAGTGAGAGGGGGCCGAAGTGATTGGCCACCCGATCACTCCGCCAGCCCTCCCCGCTCTTTATTCAATCAATCGACCACCCAACCCCGCCCCCCCCACACACCCCAAAGCCTGTTTCTATTTTTTTTCTGTTTTTGCTCGGAATGGCCCTAAAATGTTTTGGGGGGGTCCCCTGGCAGTGCGCAGACAACCCCCACTTTTTTTCCTTTTTTTTTGCTTTCCACGTGACAAAAAAGCCGTTGTCCGATTTTTCGGACAACTCCCCCTCGACCGTCTCCCGGAGACGTCCGTGGGAGACGTCTCCCAATCGGACAGCTGGTAACGTAGCCCTGAACGCAAATCCATTTATTTTTCTCGGAATTAATTATTCTTTTTTTTCTTTATTTGGAAATTCTGAAAAAATTCGCTTTCGTATTTCTCTCAAATTAATCTCGAATAAATTCAAATTAATTTTTGCTCTGCGATTCTCTGCTACCTTCATTGCTAAATCACTTGACGACGCTCTATTCTTGTAAATAGGAATTGTCCCCCCCACCTCCACATGCCACCACGCCAAACCATGACCTCCAAACGTGCCGCCGCTGATGCCGCTGCCGCTATCACATCCGTTGCTACCACCTTTGCTTACGCTCCGGCCACGTCATCCACTCCCTCTTCCCCCACCATGGCTCAATCTTCCATCAACATGTCTGATCTTCATTCCGACTCCGTCAACAGCATTGCCTGCGAACTCGCAGGCGATCAGCCAACTTCGACCACCACCACCTTGGAACTCGCAACTATCCTCCAAACATTGACCGCCCTCAAATCCTCCCTCGCCACGATTAACACCACCATGGCCGCCATCTTCGATCGTGTCACCATGCTCGAGGGAAACTGCCCCGCCGTCACGGTCGTCACCACGGCCACACCCCCCTCCTCCACACCCTCCTCCGGGCAAGCCTCCGCTTCAACCTCCACACCAACACCATCCACATGTACACCCCCACCCTCATCCACCACTACCTCCACCATGGTCGCTCCACTTCCCTCCTCGCCCAAGACGACAACCCCTGCCGTCATACAGTCATCAACCGTCCCCCCTGAATCGAAACCGCTCTTATCCACCTCCACTATTACCTCAAGCATCCCCAACTATACCCAGATCATTCCACAAGCTGTGTATCCCGCTCCTCCACTACTTCCCCCAATGCTCTCATCCCCACCAACCCCGCCAATGATTTCACCCTGTTCGACTCTCCTTCTCCCACCCTTGATTTCAATACCCTTGCCACCATTAACCCCAAAGAAGGCAAAATCCCCCCATCATTCCGCGTCAACGAAATCCCCACCTTCTCGGGCCAACCCCATGAGAATGTCCTCCTCTTTCTCACCAAACTCCAACAAGCCTTCTCCCTTCACGGCATCCCCGTCATCCATTGGCTCCCCATCGTTGGCGGCTGACTTCTAGACAACGTTGCTCGATGGTGGTACACCGAAATGCCTAATCGCCATCACGCCGATCTCCGGCCTCACACCTTCCTTGAGTGGGCCACCCTCATCCACCTCCACCTTCCGCCCACAGAAAACAGTCGACGACTATATCGACCAATTCTGTCGGCTCCAACAAAACGGACCAGCCGACTGTTTTGTGCAATACGTCCGCTGGCTTTGTCAACATATCCCCTTTGACGTCGTCAACGATTTCGCTTTCATCTCCCGCGTTAAGCGTGTCTGCCGCAAAGACCTAGCGACCACCCTTGTCCACAAGCCCCCCATGACCCTTGCCGACCTCCTCACTCGTACCCTCCAACTCGACCGCATCCTCTCCCCCTACAAGACCGCACTTACGTCGGCCCCTCCCCGCCCTCACTTCTTCCACAACATCGCCTCTGAGGACACCACGTCCACCACCTCCTCGGACGAGTTCACCTCCCCTGACCTTGACACCTTCTCCGATCCACTAGACACCACATCACTCTCCCCCGACGAACTCTCTGCCATTCACCTCATGCGAATGGAAACGAGAGATCGCTCCAGCCGCCATTCCCCGACCACCCCCCTGAGCCGCCTCAAGAAACTCACACCCGAGGAAAGAGCCTACCTTTAGGCAAAGGGTGGATGTTTCCATTGTCGCCAACAAACTAACTGCCCCAATGCTGGACTGTTCACCCGCCAATCCTCGACCCCTCGACCCGCAACCTCCGCGTCACCCCCCTCCGCAGGCGCGGGTCCCTCTTCGTCCTGAACACAGTCCCAGGACCTCGTCCCGACATCGACAACTCGTCTACCGGCCAACCCGCCGGTGACATCCCCCATCCCACCGATGGCCCATTTGGCATTGACAATCCGTCTGCCTCCCCCTTCCCCGGTGACACCCTCTTCATCGGATGACCCCGAGGCGTCGCAACCTTCATCACTGTTTCGTGCTCCTCCACCCTCCTTTCAAATCCATCCTCTGTCACCTTCTTCGATGTTGTTGAGGAACAAGCTCGACTCTATCGGCTTGTTTTGTTAGGGAACGAACAACGCCGCCTCAACATCATTATCTCCACCACCAACTCATCCCGTTTCCAACTCAAATTCAGCGCCGCCACCCTTGGTGCGTCTACCACTAAGTTTCGGGCCCTCCTTGACATAGGAGCCCCCGGTAACTTCATCACTGACATGTGTGTTCACAAAGCTGGTCTTACCTCTACCGGTTATGACTCCCCGATCATGATTCGCCTAGGGGACAAAGACACTGGCGTCGTAGTAGACCGCACGGTTCCCAAAACCACCATGACCGTCGGAACCCTCCGCAGTCAGGTCTCGTTTGATGTCATGCACTTGCGACATCGTCTTAGGAACCCCGTGGCTGGACCGCTACATGCCATACGCATTCCACCCAAACTTCCTTCGCCTCACCAACCCCCCCGACACAACCATCGACATCCTTTATCTCCCATATCCGACCTCCCAAGGCTTCGTCACCCCGCACCAATTCCTCCACATGGCTCGCCTAAACCGCGACTCCGCCTACTACTGTCTTGTCCTTGATCGCGAAAGTCATGAGGACTTACTCCCGACGGACAAACCCGATCAAGGCCCCCCTTCCAACCCCGCCATCACCTCAATCCTCGACAAGTTCAAGGACGTCTTTCCTAAGTCCTTACCCGTCGAACTACCTCTGGATCGTGCCGTATCCCATACCATCGATTTGGAACCCGGACATTCTCCACCTTGCCGCCCTCCATACCAACTCTCGGTCCCCGAAGCCAAAGAAATGAAGCGGCAACTCAATGAGCTCCTTGAAAAAGGGTTCATTAAGCCGAGTTCATCTCCCTTCGGTACTAGCTGCCTTTTTGTAAAGAAAGGTGGAACTTCGGAACTTCGCATGTGCACAGACTACCACGCCTTGAACCGGATCACGATCAAGAACAAGTACCACTTACCTCGGATCTCCGAGCTCCTTGATCGACTTCGTGGAGCCAAATATTTTACCAAAATTGACCTTCGTAGTGGCTTCCACCAGATCCGTATCCGCGAGGAGGACACCCAGAAGACCTCATTCCGCTCTCGGTCCGGGCACTATGAGTTCCTCGTAATGTCTTTCGGACTCACCAATGCCCCCACCACATTCCAGTCCACCATGAATCACATCTTCCGAGACCTCCTCGAAGTCTATGTCGTCGTGTATCTTGATGACATCCTCATCTTTAGCCCCACCTTCAAGTCCCACCTCTAGCATATTCGCCAAGTCCTCTCGATCCTCCGAGAGCAAAAATTCTACACCAAGCTCAACAAATGTACGTTTGCTGCTTCGAGCATCGAATACCTCGGCCACATTGTCTCCGCTGAAGGCATCCGTATGGACCCCTTGAAGGCCACAGCCCTTGTCGAGTATCCCCGACCAAGATCCTCCTCCAACTTCGTTCCTTCCTCGGCCTTGCCAACTATTACCGCCCGTTCATTCGCAACTTTTCCGAGATCTGTTACCCCCTCCACGAACTCACACGCAAGGACGAGCCCTTCAATTGGAACGATCGCCACCAACACGCTTTCGACTTACTCAAGCAAACCATCACCACGGCCCCTGTCCTCAAGATCGCCGACCCCACTCGCCATTTCTATGTCACCACTGACGCCTCCGACTTCGCCATTGGAGCCGTACTGTCCCAACATTTCCCCTGCGACACCGCCGAGACCCCCTCCATCAAGGACTCGCCCACTCACCCCGAGGGTCCACCCAGCGAATACCCCATCGCCTTCGCAAGCAAGAAGCTCCTTCCCTCGGAGATGAATTACCCCTCCAACGACAAGGAAGTCCTCGCCGTGATTCACACCCTCATAGTTTGGCGCCCGTAGCTCGACGGGCAATACTTCACCATCCGCACTAACAACACCATTGTTTCCTCTGTCCTCTCCAAGAAAGATATCACTCCACGCCAAGCCCACTGGCTAGACTTCCTTGCCCAGTTCACATTCACCATTTGCCATACCCCCGGCAAAAGCAACCGCGTTGTGGATGCCCTCTCTCGACGACCCGACCACAAGCCCCCCGAGAAAGTCTACGCCGCCATGACTCATATCCAACTCCCATCAGTCCATCACCGATACACCCGAGGCTACCCCTCTTGCCCAGACTTCGCCACCATCTACAACAAGCTCCGCAATCTTGACCTTGTCCCCGACTACTCCCTTCACGACAACCTTCTCTACATCGATACCAAAGGCACTCGCCGACTTTGCATCCCCGATGCACGTGGTCTCCGTACTCAGCTCTTGGCTGAGCACCATGACGCCAAGACCGCAGGACGACTCGGTTTCCAGAAAACCTTTGACACCATCTCCCGCTACTTCTACTGGCCTTCCCTGCTCGCCGACGTTGAAGCATACATTCGCTCATGCCCCACATGTCAAGTTGTCAACCCCTCGAACCGGGCCAAATTTGGCAAGCTCCGATCATTGCCCATCCGAACTCACCGTTGGCAGTCCATCTCCATGGACTTCGTGTGCAGCCTCCCCAAGACCGACCGCGGGCATGATTGCATCTACGTCATTGTCTGCCGCTTGACCAAACGTGCCCACTTCATTCCTTGCACGACTTCGCACAGTGCCAAAGACGTCGCCACCCTCTTCTTCGATCATGTCGCACGCCATCACGGCTTCCCCGAGAACATCATCAGTGACCGTGATCCCCACTCTTCAAAGCATATGGAACCACGCTCAAGCATAGCACTGCATTCCAGCCCCAGAACGATGGACAAACCGAGAAGATGAACGATACTCTCCAAAGAATCCTGCGGAAGTATTGTCATCCACACCAACATGATTGGGACCAGTTGCTCACTGCCGCTGAGATCGCCTATAACAACGTTGTCTGCCCTTCCACTGGCATGTCCCTGTTCTACCTCGACCTTGGCTACCATCCTCGCTTGCCCTCCGACTTTTTGCTTCCCTCGCAGCTCAATCCCTCAACATCGTGCCCTTCCCTCAATGATGGGTAGCAACAATGAATCGATTCCTCGGAGAAGCAACCGAAGCCCTTGAAAGAACACAAGAGTAACAAGCAAACAAGATTAACAAACACAGACGAGACTTGCAATTCAAAGTAGGGGACAAAGTCTGGCTTTCTGCCAAACGCTTTGAACCCGAACAAGGCTTGTCCAAGAAACTCTCGAACAAGTGGCTCGGTCCCTTCCCCATCATTGAACAAACCTCCCCCGTCAACTACAAACTCCGACTCTTCCCTGACATGAGTCGTGTCCACCCTGTCTTCCACATAGAATACCTAAAAGAGTATCATGAGTCCCCACCTCAATTCGCTGATCGACCTTTCCCCCGACCTCCACCAATCATGCTCCCCACAAGCCCATAATTCGTAGTAGAATCCGTCATAGGACGACGAACTACACAGGTATCAAACCATCTGGAACCTATCAAAGAATACAAAGTCAAATGGACCGGATACCCAGATGAAAAATCTACATGGGAACCTCTCTCTAATCTCGGGAACGCTATGAAACTTGTTCGCGCCTATGATCACGCTCACCCTATATCCTAGATACATCCCCAACCTTAAACCCCTGCAAAAGCCCCGCCTTGACCCCGCCAAAACCCCGCATTCCTGCCTTCACACACCCCTGTCCCCAGCAAAGCCCTTGCCCCTTGACCTCCCTCTGTCTGATCCGCTCTTGCCTCCGTCCCGCCCCCTTCTCCCATCTGTCCTCCGCCACATCCTTGTCCCTCTTGTCCAAGTTCCCTATGTGGCCCCTGCGCGTCACCGGCGATAATGGATCTAATGGCAAGCGCACGAGGACGATGGCATGCTGCAACTTAGTACGAGGAGATACGACAACTGGTTGGCCACCATGCTGTTCCTTTTGGCCGGCACCTTGGACTCGCAGACTTCTGGAGCAGCACCTTTGATAGGGACATCAAGATCAGTCTGCGACCTGCTATCCGGATCAGACCTCAGCACCAGATCCGAGTACCGGACGCATCCTGCTACTGGGACATTCAAGCTGAAGCTCTCGCCGTCCACATCACAAACCTGCAGAAGACTGCTTTCTTACCGACACTTCTGCGACACCTTTCAAGACCTGTTCTCAAGACATCTACATCGCAAGCCAAATTTCCTTTTTTTTGAGGACCACATAACCTGTTTTGCCCTGAACCTCCTAGTTCATCAGTAGAATTACCTTGTTTCCCCGTTGTTTTCAACCCCTTAGTTCATCAGTAGGATTACCCTGCTCCCTGTGCTTCCCAGCCCCCTTAGCACATCGGTAGAACTACCCTGATTCCTGCAAAACTCCTTAGCTCGTTGGTAGGATTACCCTATTCCACGTGCTTCCCAACCCCCTTAGCACATCAGTAGAAATACCCTGCAAAACCCCTTAGCTCGTTGATAGGATAACCCGTTCCCTCTTACCCCCCGACCCAGGCCACCCACATTATACCCCTCTTCCTTTTGACATGTTGACCAGTGATCGGCCCCGTCACGTCCTTCACAGACTTCAACATTGTTTCATGGCTTTTGGCAGTCGGGACGTCGCCTTCTAGAGGGAGGGGATAGTGTTACGAATTCAGCCAGAGCTCGATCCCTGGTCTGCGGGGTACCATGTGCCAGCCTGCTGTTTTATTTTATTTTTATTTCCTGCTCTTCGTTTTCTGACTGTTGGCGCCCTCTGCAGTTGGCACCCGTTTTCAAATCCCTCCTTTGGCACTTTTGGATCTCGACACTTGGTGCCATCCGACATTCTGGCGCCCAAAGACTGACTTTCGATTCTCAGTTCAGTCCTGAGGCAATGGCACTTCGCCCTCCGGACTGAACTTGAGTCCGGTACTTATGACCGAACTCAAGCCCAGTACGGGCATCAGTTTTCGGCCTCAGTGCTTGTGCTTCAGTGTGACTTTCTTCGACATTGTATTCGGAAATCCAAGACTGCGACTTTGCGACTTTGCCACTTTGTGTCTGCGTCCATCGAGTCGTGTCGAGTTTGCGTCGAGTTGAGTGAGTGTGTGTGTGTGCTCTCACTCTCCCTCTCTCTCTCTCTGCCTCTGCCTCGTCACAATATACCTTTCCTGGCGATCCCCTCTCCACCTGGGTTGCGTGCTTATCTTCGCCCTCCTCACTACACACTCCCTACGGCAGCTTACCCGGCATACCGCATGCATGTACCTCATAGGTAGAAGACAAGCGCCAGATTAGCGCACCGTACCACAGCTCCGATACCAAATTGCAAGGAAGCTGAGCAATAGCGAATTCCAAAAACCAAACAGCATCATACACATGAGACCAGATAGTCGTGACCTCGAACCAAAAGCAAAATTGCATCACAAGTTCCACCAAATAAGAGCACAGCAAAAGCTCACAAATGACAATGTGCGAGTAGTCCCATCATCATCAACAATGAACTAATGTCGATAACCTATCTAGCGCTCGGCGCCCAGACTACGAATGGCAGATCCTATCTAGCCTATCTACAAGGCCGCTGGTGGCATCAACAGCTCCCCGAAGTACGAGCAGATCTCGACCAATGCCGTTCGCCTCAAGCACCAGGTATGTCTCCCGTATCACTCACAACCTCGATTCCCAACTCACAGATGCCACATGCACCCAAGGACCACCATGTGCCCCATCCAGCATACAACAGCGCAGCTTGGCTATGGCTGCCTACCCATCCAGCTCGCCCGTGAGCGCGTGAGCACTGGCCAGTGTTTGCGCAGCATGCAGTCAGTGCCCGAATGTGAAATGCGTGGGCAGGCACTTTCCTAAATGGAATTTGCCTGCCTGCTGCGTGAAGCCTGGCTGCACTGGGCCCCTGCCCAGAAGCTTTCGGTAGGCCTGGAGAAGCTGAGCCCCAGTCCACACGAGTCAGGCCCTGGGCCTCTGGTAGTTGTCCGTGTCCAACTGCCCTCGGCCTGTGTTCGTCCATGTTGCGTATCTGGCCCAGGCCCTGCCTCAGTTACACACGAAAAAGGCAGCCTGGGCCTGGGCGCTTTCAGCAACTGGCGCTGCGCAACTGCCTGAATTTATTTTGTTACCCGGTGACCCCAAAATAGTCCTGTTGGCCTTAGGTCGAGCCTGCCCTCACTTAGGGCGGCCGACTGTACAGAAAATAGGGCCCAATAGAGCAGATCGAGGCCTTGAGCCTCACAGTACATAAAATCATTTATTATATGTTTTTATTAGTTATTGATATTATTAAGTTTGATTTTCTTTATTTGGAGATCCTCGGTCCCCGTGTCCCCATCTCTTTTACTTAGATATTCATAAATATGATAATCTATAAGGGAACGTATATGGCCCTATCCATTTCCTTCATGAGAAGAATTAATCACTCTTTGGACAACCTCCCTATCTATGATTCCTGGATACTTAGCGACAACATTTTCTCTCTCAAAGGGGTCATCCAAGGCCTGGCCCTCCGAGATTTAGAGACAAGATAGATTTCCCACCTCTTGGTTATCTCTCTCCATGTAGGAAGACTCCAACCTCGAAGTGGTATGTCCTAGCAACGTGTAACGGGAAGTTTGTTGCTAACCGGCAAGGAGACCATTGTCTGCATTTCCCTTCCCCCTTAGCAGGGAGTACCGGCTACATTTATTGTGTAGCCCCGACACACTGTTGGTTTTGTGTTGGCTGTGGCAGACTCTACAGATCTTTGCAGCCGTTGCAGTTGGTCCCACATGCGCAGCTTCTGTACACGAACACAACTAGTGTAGTCCTGGTAGAATTCAGTACCTGCGAGTGCCCCTTTTCGAGACCATGTCCACGAACATCTACCACACCTCTAGGACCTTTAACAATCGCCACCCATAAGGCTAGCAGGTTTTTTTTAGACCACTTCTCATCTAGCTTCTCTAAGGACTCAGGCACACACCATAAACAGAGTATCATGTGGTCCGGATGTGCCTGCGCGGTGACTAAGGAGTAGGTAACCTCGGCCACCATTTGAGATGGTGAGGGAACGTCTACCAACTCAAAATGTGCAGAAGTGGTTTCTATGGGCCGGATGTGTATCCCTTGGGAACTGCTCGGAGTGTTTTCCTAGGTTGAAGATGCGACCTTCTCTACTTGAGGTTGCACCCTCGTGGTGACCAGCTTGTTTTGACGCCACCCCCTTAGTAGGGTCGTACAAGCCACACCCTTTGCAGGCGTCTCTCACAAGTAGGTCTCTCCACACATCCTCTGCAAGACCCCTCTTTAATTATCCTTATGGGTAAAGAAGAATCTTCCCTTTTTTACTCCTGGACTAGTTGCTTCGTTGCATGCCAGTCTCCTCAGCCTTGTTTGAGACGACCAGCTCTCCTCCCTCGGAAGTCTTCTGGCCGCTGTCTTCTCTGTCTATCCCCCAGGATCGTAGACTCCCTCTACCTCTCCCTGATTCCTATCAGAAACTATGTAGAGTAGGACATTCCCTTTCGTTTTTTTATCTTGGGGTAGCTTCTTCTTCCTCCCTTCGCCTGGACTCTGACTCGCATTACTAAGCTTGGCCTCTACGTCCAAGGCCATCTTACTGAAGGAACAGAAATCGCGCACATCCCCAGTGGTTTCACTGACTACCCATTTCTCTACTTCTACCGTTAAGAACCTCACATGGGTAGTCATGCGAACAAGGGTCCCATACTGCATCTCTAGGACCCGTAGACTAAGACACCAGACATCATTCCAATAATCAAAGCCTGGTCGTGTCCATCTGTGCTAACCCTTCTAACCACCTTGCTGCTGCAACGATTTCCTCTGACGTCTGTCTTTGTTCCTAACGTGCGCCGGCACCTGCCTCCACCAAACGTTGAGGGTCTTGTCCTTCTGTGATGACCCGTCCAAACATGGACTGAAACACACAACTGATTTTTGAGTGTTGCTCATAAACTGAATGCCTTGCTGAGTTTCCTGCCTGCTACTAAGTCCGTGTGTGCACGCTTGCTGGACGACATGTCTGTCTGAGTGCTGGTTGGCATAAGTGTGGCCCATTAGAGCACTTGCTCATTCGTTGGGCCCTCAGGGCCGGTACTTACCTGTGGCCGTGACATTGAGGGGTTGCAGCGGGGAAAAGCACTCAAGTAGCGGGTAGGCCGATACCGCACCTGGAAGGGGTAGATGCACAGGTATCGGAGGCCGAGCAGAAGAAGACAAAAGTGGCATTTTTTTTAGAGGCCCAGTAGTGTAGGCTAGGTCTAGGCGTATACCAGTCTGAATCTAGGGCCTATACGGGCAGTATCAGAGTCTGCAATGATGTTTCCCTCCAAAAAGGAGGAGGTACCGGTTGCTTGGGAGGCCAAGGGGCCTGGAAGTCACCGCCCAAGAGGCGAAGCAGGCCGCTATATCTTCGGGCCGGGCGGAGAGTCCGGCCTCTTTTCCGGTGTGCAAGTTTGGCGACACATTGGTGGAGCGCTGGTTGGAGCAGCGCTATGCTGGAGCAGCGCTGCTGGGGAGGAAGAAGAAGGTCACGAGGGAGGAAGGAAGGAAGGAAGGGGGAGGAGCGCCAGGGGTACTTACCTGGCTATGGTGGCAGCCATCTTCATCACCTTGGTGGGCGCTGCAGCAGGGAGTCCCCAACTGGGGAGAGCCACACCAAGAAGCTTCAAGGCAGGGTTGGGCATGGCGGCCTGAGCTAGAGCCGCCATAGCTGCTTTGGGTTGTCCTTTGGGCATCTGAGCAAGGCCTAGTAGTCCGTCATAGCCTCGGCCCATGAGAGTGAAGAGTGGGGGAGGCGGCCATTGCTATGGTGGACCTTAAGTGATACTTGCAGTAGAAGAGGGACTCGAACATTGATTCTGGATCAGCTATTCAACATTGTATTATTATTTCTTGTATGAATATGAGAAGGGGGAGATAAGGAGGAGGAGATTGTGGGGCGAAGAAGAAGAGCCTTGTCATTTGTGTATGCTGGTGTACATCATCTTCTTCTTCCTTCTTCCTTCTTCCTCTTCTTCTAATCCTCTCTCTCCTCTCAAGTTCATTCATTTTTTTCTGCAATTGGACAACATTGTACTTTCTGATGGATGTGTATCTTGAAATTGGCCAGGATCATAACATTGGTATCGTAGCGGATTCTACTTGCTGGTGAGAGTTGACTTTGCTGCCCTAACCCTAACCTAAGTGGTTGAGGGCAACACTTAGGGTTAGGGTTGGTTAGTGAAGGGAAGAGGGAAGCTGCCCCCACCTGGTTAGGTCACGGACGGTGGACGTTGAACCTAACCAGGTTGCTTGAGAGTGAGATTAGGGTGGCGAGACATTTCGAGGAGGCTTCATGTGGCGATTTGAGAGAGGCAACAGTGAGAGGCACTCACACCTGGAACCTGATTCAAGGGAGACACTTGGCAACTTGAGGGCTGCCCTCAAGTAGGCGAGCTTGAGGGTCAGCGGCCACTCAGCATCTACGGACGGCAAGTTGCTACTTTGTTCTTCAGCATCGACGGGGGATCCCGACGTTGCACTTTGGTGTTGGAGTCAGACCCTCCTAGGAGATAGGACACTAGTGTAGGGGTAGCGTTAGAGGGGTCAGGAGGATCACATGATAGGGGGGTGAGTTCTATTCATCTCGAAGCTCAAGGCCACTCAGGTAAGTGTCGTGCACGTACGGAATGCCCATGAATGTGTGCATGGTATTGATTGTCCTGTTGGGGTACTTTGGGTTTCTTTTCCTACTCCTCTGTGGTCTTGATTGTGTGACTGAATGCATGTGATCTCCGTACTCACCTGATGGATGGGAAATGAAGTATCTTGATCTAAATGTCGAGTCTTTCTACAGTGCTTTGTCTTGTCATCTCTGAACGGTTGTAGTCTGTGCCGGAAGTTGAAATCTCGTTTTTCAGTCCAGTAGAAACTGAACTAAGTCCAGGAGGGACTTCTCTTGGTTGGGACCTGGTTGCGACCTACGTGGGACCTCTGGAACCCAGTGGGACCGGGCCCAAACAAGAAGAGCCCTTTTGGGCCCAAATGCATTAGCCCATTGTCTTCTCACTGTGTTACGGAGTTCTTTCTTCTTGGTTAGGACACCCACTGCCGAGGGGATCTTGGCTGAGATGTTTCGCATGTCTTTTGGTTGCACTGTCCGTGACTTGACTCGCACCCTGTACACCACTCAATTCTCCATTGTTGAATTTAGTCACTCGTTGTTTGATTTGCTGTACAGTCACGGAGCTGGTCAGACTGGACTCGAGAGGATCTTGTATGCAGTCTGATCAGACTAGGTCGCTGGATCAGACATTTGTTTGTTTTTCTTTGGTTTGCTGCTCTCTACGTCCAAATGAAATGTCGCTCCGGCTAGGAGTTCTACCTTCTCTTCTCTGAGCTTTCAAGTTTGTTTTTCCGAGTTCATTTTCGATGCCTGTGGAGAACCGCCGACAGAAAGAAGGGAGAGAGAGAAGGGATAGAGGGAAAGTGACCGTCTGGAGTGGGCAAGGACTGGGAAAAGGAGTGTTCGTCCAAGTAAGAAGGGGAGTGAACCTCTTGAGAGTCTAATTGATTCTTTTGCTAATATGCGACTCTCTGACCCACCTTTCAATTATAGCGGTCCAAAAATGGCTCAGCTAACTTCAGTGCAATGGCAGGCCGTGTTAGATGCAACCAGTGATGCGGAAAAACCATATCTACAAGCACTCCTAGATAGTGCAACCAAAAGGGAGCAGGAGGCAGAAAAGGAGAGGAAGGAGTCATTGCTGAAAAGGCAGGTGGTCATCCTAGAGACTGTTCCCTCACTGACTGAAGAGTAGTGTGGGGAACAGTTGCAGTCAAGTCGGGAATCTTGAAGATCATACCACTCAGATCGCTGAAGTCTTCGCAAAGTTGCGAACACTTTAAGGTGATCTGACTGATATGATCCGGAAGTACCACGAATTGACAAAGGAGGTGGTTGAGCTGTTGTAAGCCCAAGTGGCCAACCCTCTTCCTCTACCCCCTCGACCTGAAGCTGCAATTGAAACTACCTCTGGCTCTCTTATTGTATCTTCGTCCTTGAATGTGATGGCAACCCCCTCGGGACCTGCAACAGGTGCAGATTCCATTGTTGTTGTGACAGGCAAGGAGGCTGGATATTTTGCAACTGGTGCAGCCCCAAGATTGGAACCAGCAGGAGCTGGTCCCAGCTATGCCAGTCCCTTTGTGGATCGTGAGGCGGTTCAAATACCGTCTAAGTACGACGGCAAATAAGACATCGAGTCCTGGATCAGCTCCATGAGGGCACATTTCGAGGTTCTGGGGATTCAACCTGAGACCCAGTCCGTGATCATGGGAATGAATGTTGAGCCGGTCGTGCAGGGCTTCTTAGAGGTCCAAGCTACGCGAGCTGGGATTCCTGAAATTGAACTAACAAGATGGCTTAAGCCCACCCCGGTTGCCTCCCTCGAGGAACTCATTTCACAATACCTGGATCCACACGTCGCAGCAAGGCTAAGAATCCAGCTTGACAAAATCAAGCGCAGCAAGTGGACGGGCTCCATGAAAAGCCTGCAGACCTAGCTTAGCAAGATGTTTGCTACACCCAGATTGGAATTGATTGCTCAATCTTGCTTGGGTGTGGTCAAAGGCGTGGTTCCCACCAGCTTTACTACTGGCCTGGGCAGGGACTTCATTGGTTACACTGACTGGTTCACCTTAATGAAGGACATAGTTAGTCTTGAGGCTGTAGACCTCGTCACCACAACAGGCAACAAAAAGCACATGGGCGGCAGGCGGTTCAAAGGCAGCAACCGTTTTGCTGTGCATGACCTGCTAGAGGTTGAAGAAGAAGCCGATGCAGAGGACCCCACTCTTGGTGACTACCGAGAACAGGACCGTGATACAGCTTGTTCTTCAACCCATGAGTCTGACGCAAACCACGAAGAAGAAAAATTTACTGCCTTCAAAAAGACTGCCAATACAAACGGGCCGAATCGGAGTGGAGGGAAGAACTATGTCCAACTTCCCAAGGGAGTCAAGATCCCACCTAAACCGGAGGATGCGACTACTAAACCTTGGGTCAACCTCCAAATTACTGAAAATGACTGGCGGGGTAGACTCAAGAAGGGGGTATGCCTGCATTGCCAAAAAACAAACCATAAGGTACAATATTGTTATAGGCTGCAGGGAATCCAGAACCGGGTGTAGAGTCAATTTCAGCAAACTCTACAGCAGGGGAGACTGAATCTGATGCAAATCAGCAGTCCTCCCTTGAAGCCCAATCATCTGTTGAACACAAGGCTGAGGTGAGTAACGTTTTGTATGTCGAGCCTTGGGAGGAGTCTGGGACGGTCGATTTTCACTACCACTTGGAGCATTGGGGTGAGATGAAACAGCAGCGTGCCCAGTTAATCTTCTTCAAACTTCTCATAAACCACCGCTATCTCCGTGTTTTGATCTACTGTGGTGCTACGGCTAACTTTATGTCACCTCACGGGATACGAAGAGTGGGCTTGGGGATGAAGCAAGTGGCCTTGCAGAACCGTTGCCGAACCCAAGTTCGCAACAAAGAGGTTGTCTCTTCTACGCATGCAGTCAAAGGTGTGCGCACTACCTTTGACAGGGACAAAACTGTCACCCACACGTTAAACTTCTATGTCCTTGACAAGTGCCCCTTCGACGTTGTCCTTGGCTTGGGCTGGCTGCAGTCCCAATGCGAATGGACCAAGTGGAAGGAGTCACTTTTCATGGTCAAAGATGCTCAAGGAAACGGGCTTCCTGTCCTCTTGGATGAGAAGCACAAGTCCCCAGTGACTTTTCTGAATGCTATGAAGTTCTGCAAGAAATGGCGCAACCACAAGGGGGAAGAACAGTTGTATGTTGCCTTTGTTCGTCCTACCCATGTGCCATTCACTTTGCGGTTAATACCACTACTACTTCGATTAGTGATCCTACTTCTAGCACCTCTATTTCTCTACCCTCCAATGGTCCAAATGATCCTACTTCAGATTCGGTCGTCTCTATACGTGACCTGCGACCGGATCTAGGTGATCCCTTTGCTGATCCCCCACCCCCACCGGTCCCACCTGACATCCAAAACCTCCTCGATCGGTTTCCGGAAGTTCTGGCGAGCACGTGGAGTTCCCACGCGATCGGTCCGACACACCATCGAGTTGGTTGAAGGTGTTGTTCTTCCAAAGGGTTGCGTATACGGAATGGGACCCGACGAGTTGGAGGAACTCCGGCGACAGATTGATGAGATGATTGGCAAGGGGTGGATCAAGCCTAGCGAATCTGAATTTGGTGCTCCTGTGTTGTTTGTTCCAAAGAAAGGAGGCAAACTCCGTATGTGTATTAACTATCGCGGTCTAAACAACATCACAAGAAAGAATGCCTATCCATTGCCTCGTATAGATGACTTGCTTGATGCCGCATGTGGGTGCAAGGTCTTTTCCAAGATCGATCTCAAGTCTGGTTACCACCAGATTGAAGTCGATCCTGCGGACCAGCACAAGACTGCGTTCAAAACGTGCGATGGGCTTTACGAGTTTACCGTAATCCCTTTCGGTCTCACGAACATACCAGCCACCTTCCAAAGCCTCATGGACAAGGTCCTCCGCGAACAGATTGGCCGGTTCGTAATGGTATATCTCGATGATATCTTAATCTTCAGCAAGTCCATGGAGGAACACCTCAAGCACCTTGAGGAAGTGCTCACTATCCTCAAGAAGAAGCAACTCCATCTCAATCTAAAAAAATCTGAGTTTGGGAAGGATAGCGTCATCTATCTGGGCCATCGGTTGTCTGCTGCAGGCCTGGAGCGTGAGGCAACCAAGGTTGAGGTCATACGCAATTGGCCTCAGCTCATGAACATTCGCGAACTGCGTTCTCTTCTTGGCCTCGCGTCATACTACCGGAAGTTTGTGCCCCGCTTCTCTATTGTTGCTCGTCCATTGTTGCGGTTGACCAATAAAAATGTTCCCTATTCTTGGGACGCTGCGTGCACGAATGCCTTCCAAACTTAAAAAAAGCCTTGGTAAGTTACCCAGTACTCAGCATTGCAGATCCCAAACTGACATTCGTAGTTACTACGGATGCGAGCCAGTATGGAATCGGCGCAGTGCTGCAGCAAGATGACGGCGATGGCTTGCGGCCGCTCGAGTACTACAGCAAACGCATGCCCAGCGTAAAGGTAGCCACTTCCACCTACATGCACGAGCTTTATGCTTTGCGTATGGTGTTGGATCACTGGAAACACCATCTTTTGGGACGCCACTTCAATGTATTCTCAGATCACTTTGAAGTGGATCAAACAGCAAACTACCCTGTCCCCTACCTTGCTTCGCTGGTTCCATGAAATTGACATTTTCGATTTTGAGTTAAGACACAAAAAGGGTTGTTATAACCGAGTAGCTGACGCTTTGTCTTGCCACCCCGAGTACATGACTTGCCTTGTCAAATCCTACGACCTCCGGAAGAAACTGAAGGAGCAGCTCGTAGAGCACACCGCCAAGGATCCGGAGCTTAGTTCCATCCTTGAGCGGCTAGGGGCTGACCCTAGCAGTCAGCCTGATTTTCACGAGTATGAAGGACTGATTTTTCGTCGCTACGGGAACCACGAACGTTTGTGTGTGCCTAATCGTGAGCCTCTCCGCACGTACTTTCTGGATTTGGATCATGGCCGAAGCGGACACTTCGGCATGGCAAAAACGTACGCAAATTTGCTGAAACAGTTTGATTGCCCTGGCATGAAAGGGAATGCTGAAAAGTTTGTGGTTGAATGTCAAGTCTGTCAACGAATCAAACTATGCAAACAAAAGTCGATGGGGCTACTCACACCCCTACCCATTCCCGATGGTCCTGGGGAGTCTGTCTCCATCAACTTCACCGACATGGGAAAGGTAAGTAAGAACGGCTACTCACAAGTCATGGTGATTCTTGACCGATTCTCTAAGTTCCTCAACCTGATCCCTTTGCCGCCTCACGCCTCAACAAAACTAGTGATTCGTGAGTTCCAACAGAAGTACATTCTGCAGTTCGGAACCCCGAAGACTCTTGTGAGCGATCGACATCCGCGCTTCATTAGTACTGAATCGAAGGACTTCACGTCTCAACTGGGGATCAAGCTGTGTATGACATCTGGCCGACACCCCGAAGCCAACGGTTTGGTTGAGGAGATCAACCAGACTGTAATTCAACTTCTTCGCGCTTTGATTATTCCGGATCAGGAAACATGGGATGAAGAGCTGTATTCCGTTAAGGGGTTATACAACAACTATGTCCACTCGGCCACCGGCATGACACCCAACAGGCTGCATTACAGTTGGCAGATCCGAAATCCGCTCTCTTACCTAGTCCCTGAGCAGCCAGCTGGTTTAACACATGGCAGACCTGGCTTCAGGGCCAAGTATGATCGCTTGCTCAAAGTTGTCATTGCAGCCATGGCCAAGCGACAACACGCCATGATCCATCATGCGAACAAGAAGTGCCGACCGTCGGATATTCAGGTGGGAAGCTATGTCTGGGTCAAGATGTCTGAATTCTCAAAAGAAGAGGGCGTCTCACGCAAACTTCTCCCACTCTATTATGGGCCCTGGGAAGTTTTGGATGTGATTGGTGAAGATCACTTTGGCCCTTCGTATGTCGTTGATGTGCCAGCCCATCTGCGCACATACCCCGTGTTCCATATCCAAACTGTACCTCCACCGTGATGCTAAGACATTCGCGAAGATATGATCCCTCGGGCGATCAAAGGCGGGCATGAGATAGACCGAATTAAAGAGCACGTAGGGAAGGGACGCAACAGACAGTGCCAGGTTCACTTTGTGTATCATCCGTTAGATGATCTGTACTCGATTTCCAATAAGAATTGCTAAGCAGCGCACCACACGTTAAAGCCTACGAGCGACAAATCGCCACTAACGCTACACCTAAGATCTCTGCAAGGCTCACTGCGACAGAGTATTCTAGGAATCTCTTTGCCTTGCTTGCCTACAATGCGTTTGTCGAGGACTCAGAATGAGGTACTCGCTCGAAGGGACCTCGCTCTTGAGGGGGGAGTAGTGTGATGACCCTACACTCTACTAACCCCTATCCTACCTGGTCGGGCCCTGCTGGGCCCGTGTGGAACTGAGTATGCCACACCCCCCCCTCCTTGAAAGACCGAGCTTACCTGCGAGGGTGAAGCTATCTGTTGGAGGGAGGGACCGAGTCCGGGTGGGAGGGGCAGGCTTTGCAGCTCCCGTGGTTAGTCGTTGCTTCTCATATTCGGCGTAGATGAGTGGTGCGGAGGCTTGCAAGGCTGCTCGTGAGATCCATCGCGTGTCGTCGCAGTCGCACCACTTGAGTGTGACCTTGTACTGCATTGGCTTGTTGTCATGCTTGTGATGCATGATGATGCGCTCGACTTCCTGATGACCGTCCATAGGAGGGTCCTGCGATCGTCGGCCCAGGAAGTTGTCGCGCTTGGCTGGTGTATATGCAGCCAGCTTGGAGGCGTGAAAAATCGGGTGGATCGTCAGATGCGACGGGATTTCGATCACAAAGGACGGGCCATCGGGCTCATCCCCCACGGTTGATGTGACGGTCCATGGTCCAAACCACTTGGGAAGTAGCTTGAGCGAGACGTCTTGTTCAAGCGCAAATTCCTCCGTGGAGACCCAAACAAGGTTGCCGGCGCGGATAGGGCATGGCACGCAACGTCGATTGGCTTGCTGTTGCATGCGGACTTGAGCCTTTTGCATGTTGGTGCAGGCTTTAGCCAGCAAGTCCCGATACTTCCGATCGGAGGCGGGAGAACAAGCGGCGTTAATGTCGACAGTTCTTGGGAATGTAAGATTAGCGAAGATACGGCCTTTTCGGCCACCATGGTGCAACTCCAATGGTGTCACGCCGATCGCTGGATGCAACGAAGTGTTGTAGGCGAACTCGATGTCGGGGAGGCAGTCAACCCGATCCTTCTGATGCAGACGGATGAGTGACGGAGCATCATTTGGGCGGTTTGATGTGCCTCCTCCGCTTGCTCGTCCCTTTGTGGATGCCGAGCCGAACTCGGTTTCATCTCTGTGCTGGAGTCCTTCATGAGGGAAGTCCAAAATGTCGTGGTCGCTGACGATGTATTCCGGAATGTCGTGGCCGCAAATCCAACCGGTGTGCAAGAGTCGTGCAAGCTCGGGAGCCGTGGCGTAGTACTTGGAGGGGAGAAATCGCGCGTACTTGCTCAAACGGTCGGCGACCGTGAGAATGCCGTCATGCCCGAAGCGGTCGGGGGGGAACGGGCCGGTGACGTCCATAGCCATGGAGAGGTCGGGTTCCCGCGGGATAGGCAACGGGCGTAACTCGCCATAGGGGTTGCGATTGAGGGGTTTGCTTCGTTGGCAAACTTCGCAAGAGTCGCAATACTGAGTGACGTCGGTAATGAGGTCAGACCACCGGAATCGTTGTCGAAGTCTTGCAATCGTACAGTTGACTCCGAAGTGGGCGGCGAGTCGTGAGTCGTGGTACTCGTCGAGAAGGCAAGTTCGTAAGCGACAGTCGTGTGGGACGCATAGTAAGTCCTTGCCTTGTGAGTGAAGAAGCAAGTAGCCGTCGACGACACGGTAGTGGCTGGCTGACGGCTGATCCGAGGATAGTTGCTTGTAGAGCGTGGCGTATTCCGGATCAGACTTGTATGCTCACACAAAATGTTGATGAAGGGCGTCGTCGAAACCGAACACGTGGTGAGTCAATGCGCAAAGATATGATCTTCGTGAGCGAGCATCCGCGGCTCGGTTGGAGAGGCCTGAAATGTGTTTTGGTGAAGTCATATTGGTCGATGAAGTACATCCATCGAGCGATCGTGCTGCTCGCCGTGTCTTGCGTCTTGTAGTAGGTCAATGGGTTATTATCCGTAGCCCAAGTGAACCTATGACGCCCGAGGAGGAAGTGCCGCCAACGCTCGAGTACCGTGACGAAAGCGAGAAACTCCTCATCATCAACCAAGTTGATGGGAGGTACCTTTTGGCTGAAGTACTCAACCGGACTCCAATCTACTCCGTCGTGTTGTTTTAACATTGCAGCCATGCCGTAGCCGGAAACGTTCGTAGTCATTCTCGTAGGCAAGGTGGGATCGTAGATACTCAAGACGGGAGCGAGAAGCAATTGATGTCTTCAATTTATGGAACGAACTTCGGACTTTGTCGGTGAAATGGAAGGGCACCTTTGGAGACTGCAATCTTGACAAGGGTGCGGCGATCCGTGCGTATCCGTCGATGAAGCGTTGGTAGTACCCGACCAATCCCATAAAAGAGCGAACTTCCGTGGTGTTGGTCGGTTCCGTCAATCTTGGATGGCCTTGATCTTGTCCGCGACCAGACGGATGCCTTTTCAGCATCACAAGGTGGCCCAAGTACTCGAGCTCTTGTTGTGCGAATTCGCACTTGGCTCGATTGGCCTTGTACTTGGCCGTACCTAGCCCGTCCAAAACAGTGTGTAGATGCGTGATATGCTCGTCCAAAGTCCGGCTATACACCAAGATGTCGTTGAGGTAGATGAGCACGAACCGGTCCAATATGTCGCAAAACTCCCTTTTCATTGCGGCTTGGAAGGTGGCCGGGGCATTCGTGAGGCCGAATGGCATTACGCCCCACTCGAAGTGCCCGTAGCGCTGCCCAAGTCGATGCGTGGGAGTGGGCCAACATTCTTAACGGTTTGAGCGTTAAGCTTGCGATAGTCGATACATAAGCGCAACTCCTTGTCCTTCTTTCGGACGAAGAGAACGGGTGCACCGTAGGGCGAGCAGCTAGGGCGAATCCAGCCCTTGGCAATGAGGTCATCTAGAATTCGTTCGTAGCACTTCGAGTTCCTCCTCGGTCATGTGGTAGATACATCCGCGTGGAGGTACGGCCCCATCTTCGAGAATGATCTCGTGACGAATTGGCCGATCAGGTACGATTCCGGCGGGGCCTCGAAGACGTCGCCATAGGAGTCGAGAAGCTCTACAATACGTGGATCCGGTGGCTGTTTCGTCGCTGCCTCGTCAGGAGGGGGCAGGGCGTGCAAGAAGCAAATGCCCATTTCCTCCACGTCGTTCCGTGCGATGGAGTTGCGAATGCTTGCAGCGGAGACCACGTGACAACCAATTGAAGGGTGAGGTGGGGGGACCGTACATGGGACAAGTACCCCATTCCGGTCACGAACGTGAACGGTGCGGCGATAGAAGTTCACCAGGTGGTCCTCGCTGCGCAGCCACAACGTGCCCAAAATCATGTTGAACTTTGTGTCCAAGATGTCAAGGGACACGGCCTCGCCTGCGTGCAGGACGAAGTACACGGGGACAGAGTCAACGCACCGGTCAATGGACTTGTGCGTACGACCGTCGGCCAACGTGACTTGCGTGGGCTGCGATTTCCTTCGAACACGCAGTCCGAGGCCGGCGCACCCCATAAAGTCTTGGCTGATGCAGTTGCTAGTAGCTCCACGATCGATCAAGGCGCTGCAGGTCGCCTTCCCAATCTGAATGTGGGTGTAGAGTAATGGCGTGTCGATGTCCTAGTACCGTTGCATGGCGTACTCGCGGTCGATCTTCGCAATGTACTCGCGAACATCAACAACCGCTGCTCCGTACTCCATCACCAGAGTTGGTATTGCAACGTGCAAGTAGTTGCGTAGTTCCACCATCAAGGCGTTGCAATGCGGCTTCGACAAGTAACCAAATGGGGGAAGAGGCATCCATTGGAAGTCCTCCGACGTCAATCGGTCGAGGTTCTCAAGTCTAGACCATACCGACGAGTCCCCAAGTAGTGTCGGCGAGGATGGTGGTTCAGTTGGCGATGGTGATGAAGTCGCGCATGCATATGACTCTTGCACGTGGAGAGGTTGGTCCAACGGAGGGACCAGCTGGACAGCGTAGTCTTCGTAACTCTCTTGAAGACTTGCGACATACGCATGTTCCCGGGGCGTGGAGGAGGTTGCTAGCAAGGTAACCATGTCCGGCGGAGAAGGAAGTGGAGTCGCCTCACTTCCCGCGGAGCTCAGTTTCTCGAGCTTTGTCATGGGCGGACGTCGTCTTTGCCTTTGTCGGGGCATTGTGACATTGTGTGCTTGGTGCTGTTGCACGAGTAGCATCAATTCCACTTTTGGCGGAGCTTGTATTGCTCCTCCGTGAGGTGGAATTTCTTCCATGGCTCATTCGGCTGTCCGACTTACGTTGTTGACATGGATTTCGCCTTCTTCTTCTTCTTGTTGCGTCGTGGCGGAAGGGCGTTGACTCCGTCTCCTTCACTAGACTCGTGAGTCAGCACCTGGTCATCATCTTGTCCCCACCGATTTGATTGGATTACCTCGCGCGCCTTGTCCACGATCTGGTCAAAGTCCGTGTACAAGTTGTGCTCCCCAAGGGTCGTGCTCAACCCGTCGATCGACCGCTGGAAGAATTCGCGACACAGATGCACGAATGGTATATTGAGATTCGAGATCGTCACGTTTTTCTGCCACTCTGTTAGCCATTCGCGGGTTGGCTGGCTGCCTTGGTGCATGGTGAAGATCCGGTTTGCACCTTTGCCTTGAGCGTCGTCGACGATGAAACGCTTCCGCCACTTCTCGGTGACGGCCTCCCAAGTCAACTTGGTGTAGAGGGCTGCGACCTCGACGCCTTCGGTTTGTGCCAGGTGATTGAGCCACACTTGGCTGGCAGCGGTGCTGCAAATGTAAAGTGCTGAGACCTTTGATTCCGGCGGAACAAGGTGAATGGCAAGCTCATTGGTGAACCCTTGCCACCAAGTCATGGGGTCCGCCGTGTTGTAGTCATCGAACTTCTCGATGCTGAACTTCGACATCTTGTATTGTCTGGGCGTCATGCTGTTGCAGGTCCCGGTTGGTTGCTGCTGCAGCTGGCGCAGGTCAGCCTGGACTGCAGCCATTCGTTGACCGATGGTCGCCGACCATTGGAAGTTGTTCAGATTTTCGATGAGTGCTACCAGATGATCCGTTTGTTCCCCCAGTTCGCGGACCGATGGATCGGTGCTTGAGGATGCCATGTGCCTGTGCGGCACGTCATCCTTCTCCGATTCCTCAAGGCGGGTGTGGAAACTCTTGTGAGTCTCCTCGTAATATGAGATGATACGTATCTGTCGAGCCAACTCCACTTGTTGGAAGTTGCAAGTGAGGAGCTGGTGCATGAGGTGGAAGAGTGCTGCCTTGGTCTGTTCCTTCGCAGTCGACTCCGGGTGCCTCTCCGTCGGAACAAAGTTCCATTCTTGGCGTGCGGTGGTATGAGATGCTTCCTGCTGCATGAGGACGGATGTGGCGTATTTGCGAAGCTGGTTACGGTTGGTAGCTGCTTCGGCTTGCTGCCGGCGTCATTGCTCCGCGTCGCGTGCAATGGCGTTGAGGCGTGCAGCTTCAGTTGTCGCCTCGCGTCGTTGTTCCTCGTGTACTTTGCTGCATGTAGGTGGACAGGCGGGCCACGAAGGCCGTCATTGTCTCACCCTGTTGTCGGATTCGCGCAACGTCGAGGTGTCCCACAGGTGTCGTAGTGGGAACCACCTACTGGACGTGTGGGACCAGGCGGTTCGCACTGCACGCCTCGCATGGAGTGCCGGATGCGGCATTGTCCACCGTGGGGTTGCCTCGGGCCTCCATTGCAGAGGGGAGGGAAGGGGTAGTTGCTGCTCTGCTGCGGCTGCCCGCCCTTCACGTTCTGCGATGTGTTTGCTGCGTGGGATCATAAGTTGCAGTTAGTTGTACTGTGTCGGCTGACGTGGCACTGCTGACGTGGCACTGCTGACGTGGCACTTGCGGTAGTACAAAGAAAGGTGGGAAGAAAACAAGTAGACAGGCGAACAACCGGACCGCAATTTCCAACCTCGGGTACTAATCAACAGAAAAAATGAAAACGAAAAAGATCTTTTTTTTTTTCTTTTTTTTTCCTGAAATCTGTCGATTTGAGAATTAGTAAGGCATCTCTCAGATAACTAGCAGTAGAAATTGCCAGCAACGAACTTCTCAAAAGTCCAATGTCCAAGGACCGAAGTTCGTGAATTAAATCTGACTGCCAAAAAAAAAATTCGTGGTAATTTTATTTTCGAAAAATCGCGAAATTATTCTGACGTTTGGGAAATAAATTCACGGAGTATTTCAATTTCCAAAGATACGTGCCAGGAAAAATTTCGAAATAGTTGGATGAGAAATCACGAGTTTTAAAAAACGAAATCTGCAATAACCAAATTCCTAGAAACCAATCCTAGGTCTGATTAGACACAAAATTTGGAATTTCAAGAGAATGCGGTAGCCCAGACTACGGGAAATCGTAACGCTGCGGAAATACAAGAAAGGGGAGATCGTAAAGAAAGAAAATTTACGAACAACCAATTCTTGATATACAACAGACTTGAACCACCAGTACCCTACAGAGAAGTCGTCCAAACCTTTTTATTTTTGAGATACCGAACCTTTTTGTTTTGGTAGGAGGCACGTGGTGGAAAGCAGTGACGCAGCGGGCGACCGGTCCTTCACTGTTGGGCAACCGGTCCTTCCACTTAGAGCGTTTTTTTTTTTTTCCCCTCACTTTTTTTTTTT